TCCACCCTGCACAGCAGCCTTCTGTTCTCTCCAGAGAGTGGACTGTTGGCATTTTGCATGGCTTTGTGGTACATCAGGAGCTCCACCTTGGGAACAACGAGTTTCTCTCCTGTGGCCACACACTTTCCTAAGGAGTCTCAAAAGAGTAATTAACCAGGAGATATCTATTTGCAATCAGCCTAAATTTACTATATAGTAGTCCCTCCCTTCATTGAAATTTGTTGATGCTCTAGATCCACAGACCACTGTGGACCCTTTTCCTTTCTTCTGCAGTACTACATATTTCATTGTTCTTTTTTCCTCTGAAACATTATAAAGATGTTTTGCCACATCATACAATTCTATCAGCCATCTCCAAGTGACAACAGTGCTGGGCAGGCTGCCCTGTCTCAACCCATCTATCTTACCCACTCTACCCTGCTCTCTTATTCCTCCAGTGCTTCTTCTTTGATCCCTTTGATGCAGACAGACCCCCCACTCTTCTCTTGCTCTGTGTTTTTTGCTGTTAGGCACTCAGTCATCAAATTAAAAAAAGTCTTTGGCTGGATGTCAAAGTGATCAGTGCTATACCAAATAAAGCCTAAGGCTCTAACATTTCATCCTCTCTTTCTCCAGACTCCTCCTTCCAGCTCCATTTCTCCCCTCCAGTCAACAGCCACATACACACACCTCTAGTACCAACTAGTATTCTTTTCTAATAAAGCATCTCAAAACCATCACTAGTGTATTATCAGCCATCCTGGTATGGATACAGAAAGTAAGACACAAGGAATTAAAATGCTCTCTCCCATTGTCTTCAAAACCAGCAGCAGAGAAAGGCACGTGAGGCAGGGCTTGCTCTAACCACCAGCCTAGCAGTGACAAACTGCTGGCTCTATGGCTAAGCCCAGCAACAACCCCAGATAAAAATAACCCACCCCACTTGCTTTTTAATTCTCTGAATATATTTGGCACTGGAAGCTCAAAAGCTTTGTCCTGTCCACACTAGATAAGTTCTTCCCAGTTTCTCTTCCACACACTCCCCAGATGAAAGTATCTTCCTTTTTTACCCACGAATGATTTCTGCTCTTCTCCTTGGTCAGAGCTCTCAGCCCGGGCTGTGCTACCCTACTTCCATAGGGCTTTATACTAAGAGTGCCCAGATCCTGCACTGACCTTCAGGCCAACGTCCTTTCTATCATCATCCCTGGAGACTCTATATGTATCTACTCTGGAAAGCTGCTTGTTTTCTTGAAGGTATTTATAGCATTAATAGCACTCTTCTTTCTTCAGGTTTCTGTTTGCTTTTGTCTCTATATAGATATTAAAACCCTGGATACAACCCAAGGAAAAACCATGTCCTGTTCACCAAAGCATACTGGACTGAGAGTGGATACTGCTGACGCTGGTTGGGGTTCATCAGACACTGCCTTACTGCTTGCAGATACAGAGATCTCCACTTTTTTGGTGGTGCCTTCAGAAAAACTGGGATATGATGCCCACTTAAGACCTCAGTTTCCCTCCAGCCCCCAACATCTTTGGCTTTGCATCAGCCAAGTTCAGAAACCAGGAATGCAAAGTGAGACCATGGCAAACTTTGCAGACTCCATCACAAGGATGCCCAAGGCATTTTGAGCCTCCTCCCCAGGGGAAAGCTCAGCTACATTCTTTCAGCCTCTTTTCAGCATGCAGTTGAAATTTCTCTGCCACCAGATACAGCAGGGTATAGTTGAGTTCCCAAAGCATTTTGAAAACCTCAAAGCAGTGGCAAATATTCCAACATCTGCTTTTATCCTTCAGTAACACCTGCAAAGTCTAAGCCAGGGTAGATTTAACCTGAAACAGGGTTGAATCTCAACTAATCTGAATTTGACCACTTTTAGAGTCTTTTGGCTCCCTATGGGATGGGAACACCCCTGCGTGTCTCTCTCCAGGTCAGCTTGTCTGGAGAAAACCTGAACCCATCTTGGCCAGTTTCTTATAACAAGATGCTGCCTTGTAAACAGGTTTGCAAAGCCCTGCAGGCACCAGAGGAATGCACACACACCCACTTCCCAGTGTTGCTCCTCTACTTCTCCCTCCAACAGAGCAGCCTGAGTCCTAAAAAGCCAAATCCTCGAGCATCCCTCCTCCACCATTCCCTTCTGCATCCTGATCACAGAGCATCCCTCTCTCTGAGCATCTGTCTGGGAATCCTGAAACCTGGGCCTCTCTCCTGAATCCCTCCCTACAAGCATCCCTCTCTTGAGCATCCTTCCTGCACCTCGACCTTCTGAGCAGCTCTTATTCCAACCATCTCTCCGGCATACCTCCCTCCAAGCTCTGTTCTACATCCCAAACCCCAAGCATCACTCCGAGTATCCCTCCCAAGCATCTCTACTGCTCCCCTTCCTCTGAGTATCCCTCCCTCAGAGCATTCTAGTTCCAAAGAACTCCATTCTGACCCCCAAGCACCCTTTAATCACAGCATCTTCCTGTATCCCTTGAACAAGCTCCTGCATCCTGACTACCCAAGCATTCCTGCCTCTAAGCATCCATCCTCAACTCTTTCCTCCAAGCATCCCTCCAGCATCCCAACACCCAAGCATCTCAACTCCTGAGCATCCCGACGCCCAAGCATGCCTCCTGCACCTCTTTTCCCCAAGTACCCTTACTGCACCCCTTCCCCTGAGCAGCCCGTCTGCATCTCTCACTTCAAGCATCCCTCCTGCACCTCTCATTCCAAGCATTCCTTCTGCATTCCTTCCCCTGAGCACCCTTCCTATACCCTTCACCCTGAGTATCACTACTGAATCCCTCACCCCGAGCATCCCTCACCCTTCACATACCTCTCATCCTGAGCATCCCTCCAGCACCCCTTTTCCTGACTACCCCTCCTACACCCCTTCCCCTGAGCACCCTTTCTACACCATTCACCCCGAGTATCCCTCCTGCATCCCTCACCCCAAGCATCCCTCCTGCACCTCTTTCCCCGACTATCCCTCCAGCATCCCTTCCCCTGAGCATCCCTCCTGCATCCTGAGCCCAGATACCCTCTGCACCACTTGTCCCAGAGCCACTTCCCTCACTCCTTCTGGACAACCGATCCGCCCCCCTTCTGCACGCTTTCTTTCCCTCCGCGTTCTAGATCCGGCGGGACGGGGAATGCGGCGGTGGCGGCGGCTCGAGCCGCAGTCCGGAGCAGCGCTGGGCAAGGGCCGGAGAGGCGGCGACTACATCTTCCAGCAGGACGGGCCGGGCCAGTGCCGAGGGACCCTTACCCCGATCCGGGACGCCGCGGCCCACCTCTGGACTCTGCGCCTCTGCGAGCGGCGGAAGCTCGGCGTGGAAGGGCGCAGGTGGTTCCCGACCGGGCCCTTTGGGGGGCGTGGGGAGGCGGGGGAACCGCGAACGTCCAGGTGGGAGAGTACTGAGGCGGGGAACAGGCGGGTACGGCGGCCGGGAGCGCTGCTGGTCGTTGTTGGGATATGCGGGCAAAGGATGGGTGAGCCGTCTGAGAGCGGGAGGTACGGGTACTTTTTTTTAAGTATGTAAGCTAATTAGATAGTGTGGAGCGCTGCTGGTGTTATTGGTGAAGCCGTAACCTAGGTATGCCTTCAAAGGGATCGGGCTAGCGCCACTCTTGCAAACTCTTGCAATTCACCCCCCCCTTCCAATGAAAGATCTCCGAAATTTAAGGATTCACAGCACATCCTGTATGCCCACACCCGGAACATGCTGCCCAGCTGGGTCTGGCTGGTCAATGGCCATGAACTGTACCCTGCAGAGGGTCTAATTCTGGATGGTACCTACCTTGTTACTGTGATTTCTGAGTGGGATTTGCTATCGTGCAGCTGCATCCGTGCTGGGAATTAGCTGCCCTTTCACTGCAGGGGTGCTCTGGAAGTGATGGTGTCAGTGGGAGATGGGGTGGAAACTGGATTGCTGAACCACTCTGTGTGTGAATCAAGCAGTATGCAGGTGGTGGGCTACCACGTGTGCAGATGAAGTGGTCCAGGAAGGGAATAAAGTGGTCCATGAAGGAAATAAAAAGTATCTGGATGATACTCCAGGGGTGCCAAGTGATACTTATGTGGATGCCTGGACAGGACAATGAAAAACATTGCAAACCTTTGCCAGAACTGGCATTAAATTGGTATATTGGACTGTACAAAGGGTATCATCTTGGAAGGAAAAGTGATGCTCCCCGCTGCCATGAGACCCCAGACAGGCTCCCTCCTGGCTGCCGGTGGCACTGCCCTCCTGACAGTCTGCACTGCCCACCCAGCAGCCCCTGAGCCTACCGGTGTCGAAGGTCACACCGGGAGACTGCCGAGCACTGCAGCACTTTGACTTTTATTCTCCAAACCTCACTGCAGCCGCATCTCTCTGGCTCTGCACTCCCTCTCCCCCTCCATCTTGTTATCAGCCGGTTCTCCTTCAGCAGCACTTAACTTTCATTTCATTCTCTTCCTCCCCGCTGTTCACTGCTGATTTTGTTCCTCTTCTCTCAGGAGGAACCTGACCTTTGTTTTATATCGCTCCTTGCTCTTACTAACTGGTCACCAGCTCTATTTTCCTACCTCTGCCTCCCTACCCTCTCCTCTTTTTGCTTAAATTCAGCAGCTGCAGAGACCCTACAGACAGCCTTCTGCATTCGGCTGCATCCCTAAGCAGGCAGCTCAGGAGATGCTCAAGGGCATCGAGGTGCAGATCTGGGAAGGGGAGAACGCACGGCATCATCACACCCACAGCAAACCAGAGTTGTTGTGGAACTCCCGGTCACGCTTTCCCATTCTTCATGCGTCTCATTGCCAGAGCAGAGTTTCTGTGTCTAAAGAAGCACGGGCAGAAAATTAAATGTAAATAAATATAAATAACTGGCTGCGCTCCGAAGGTGGATTGTCAGCGTGTCTATGGCCAGGTATTGCAGCCGCCGGCAGATGGATACCAATCCTATCGTACAGGGAGAAAGGAAGGGTGACCCGTTTCCTGCCTCACGCCTGCTGGGAATTTGAGTCCCCTCCCAGAGCTGGTCACAGTGTCCCCCGTGCCAGCTTCGGGGTGAGCGGCCTTTCCCCAAACACCTGCTGGAAATTTCCAGAGACATCACAGCAGTCCCGAAACAAAAAGCTGCTGTGCCTCCCCGCAGGCGCTGCATTTTGGGATCTATTGCTCCTGGCAGACACGCCGTGCTCTGCTTCACCGACCGAATTGTAAGCTTCTAAATGCTGCATTATTGGAGGGGTTGATATTAAGTAAGTGTCCAAAATCAGGTGGGTCCGTCCTGCAGCCATGGGAAAACGTGGGGTTTCCTCTGTAAGATTACTGTAAATAAGCATATAGGCTACAGAAACTATTGCAAATGTTTAACCTTCTGTAGCTGAGGATGAGCTAAGTATATGTACATCAGGCATACGTGAAGGGAGGGTGAGTCTATGCTTGCAATGGATTTTGTCCAAAATTCTCCCTGAAGTTCAGCTCTCATTGATACCTACTGTCTGCTGAAAGCTAGTAAGTGGTCAATTGAAGTGTTTATTTTTTTTATACTCTAAATATTTTTGTTTGTTTGTTTCTTCCCCCCCTTTAGTTCTTTGATTATTATTTTTATCTTGTCTTTCATGGAGTTTCTTCTAGACTTCAAACTGCCTGGTCTGCAGCCCCATGACACAGTTGGGAATGAGCTCATAGCTGAGGATCTGGATTTCCTCCACAAAATCGTCCCCTTGAGAAGGGACAAGGCACAAAACTGCTCTACGGGTAGAGTCACAGCAAGTGCCATGGGGCTGGCTGTGCCCAGATGTGGAGTTCTCAACTTCATTACTATTTGGGTTTTTTTGCTCAAGGCTTAAATGTTTTGTAGAAACTGGAATTCTTACCTCAGACCAAAACACGTGTTTCAGTAAAACACAGTGGAGCAAAGGGATACATGCTGAGTGTAGGGAAAATGGGGCATGACCTAGAGCAGAACAAGCATCGTGCAAGAGGAACCATCCTTGCCTGATTATGTGTTCACCATTAATATGCTCTAATGGAGCAGACTGGAGCCCCATCCTGCAGCAACCATCTTTTGCTGAATCCCATTTAGAGTTTCCAGCAGCCATTACAGGTGCCCAGCTGTTTCTTTTCTCATACCTCCTTTTGAGCTGAAATCAATCCTGCTCCTTCTAAGGCAGAATTACTTCCTATAAAGCATTACCTAATCTGTCTCTTGTAACATTTATCTACTTGATGTGGCTTTCACCAGCTCTCTTGGGCAATACTCAAAAAGCCAGAGAGAGGTTTTTAGTCTGGCTGCTCTTCCTGATGCTTAGCAGAAATGGTCCCTGGTTTGCTTTAATTTTATTGCCACTTAGGCATTCTTCATTGTGCCAGCCTAAATAATTAATATCTTTTTTTTTCCTTTTTGCTGTGTATGTTTTTTGTGGTTCATTTTTACTCCTCAACTATTTATATGGAAGCTGCACATATTTCACTGTCTTAAATACAGGTTTTCAAAGTTTTGGTTGTGGAGGGATATTTTACAGGTGAGCTATTGAAGCCTACACTATAAAATTAACCAGCAGTGCAATATATAATATACATAAACTTCTGAGGCACTGGTACACTGGACAGAGAACCTGATGCTACCCTATCCCTGGAAGTGTTCAAAGCCAGGTTGGATGGGGCTCTGAGCAACCTGGTCTAGTGGAAAGTGTTCACGACCATGGCAGGGGCGTTGGAATGAGATGATCTTTAAGGTCCCTTCCAAACCAGGCCATTTTATGATTCTGCGATTCTATGAAATTAAACCCATTAGAAATAATGACTGTGTAAACAGTCATGTATCACTACATCTGGCAGCAAAAGACCCTATTGGTGTCACGGCAGATGTTAACTTGTATTTCAGGGGATGCTACAACTTCTAATGCCTTTAATGCCATGTGTAAGGGCTTCAGAGGCCATAAGAAGCCTGTGGGATGGACTTTGGAAACCTTAACAACTCATCATGATCACCTCCTACCAAATTACAGATTGTTCTTGCTTTGTTGCTCTGTGTTTATTTAATCTCATTAATTAAATCCTCTGACTGACAGTAGGATGCCTGTTAACTGCATCTTGGGCATTGCCTCTGAAATCTGAAAGGACTGATTAATTCTTCTTCCCCAACATTTGTAAAGTGAAATCTGTGTTTGCAGTCAATTTCTTTTCCCAATAAAAATCCTGTTATAAATTGTCTTCAGATAGATAGATATAGATACATATATCTTTTGGCAACCATATAAACATATCTATAACTTTAGATTTTACAGTAAACTGCATTTTTTGGCTAAAAAGGATAGACCACAGCTGTATACATTTTTCAGAGTGGTTAAATACGTAATATTTGTGCCATTTGTTTACATTTTACTTATGTTGGCAAATCATGACTGAGGCTTTTTTTTTGGATGATTACTTGTACACTTGTGGGGTTTTGCCAAGTTCTGTGAAACAGGCACTCAGTTAAATTATGTATACAGAATTTTATTTATTAGCTAATTAAAGCACTCTTAAATGTGATGAATACAGGAGAAGAAAAATAAGCTTATCCAAAGCTGTTCTACATTCAAAATGGTTAGGCAAACGAAGTGATGTGATAATGATGGTTCTAAATACATGAAGGCATCAGTAAGTGAAATCACGTAGATTTTGTCATTTGACATACTTTCATACCTTCCCTCTGTGTCAACCCCCATTACTCTCCCAGGTTCAAACCAGTTATTTGCTGAACTAAACTCATGGGGTAGATGGTTGTTACAGAAATGTTCTCTATGCAGGTGTTGAGGATGCTCCTGTGAGTAAAACCCAAGTTAAAATTTACAAGCCCTGGTCTGTTGAAATGCTCAGATGCTCACAGACAGCTTCTATTCAGCAGTTTGACTTTTTCATAAAGTTAACCACTGCTAGTTAAGCACAAAATAAATCTTATGTTCTTTGGCCAAATTCACATCTTCAGCTCTCAAATTAGATCTCTAGCTGATCTAATTTGAATGAATTTTAAGTGCTACTTGAGGAGGGGCTACACAAAAGACTTTACTATAAATCTGTGCTTCCAAGAAGCATAACCCAATTTGTACTTGTACTTAGTGACTGCAGGTTATAGAATCATACTGTAACGGAATGGTTTGGGTTGGATGGGACCTTAAAGATCATCTGGTGATAACCTGCCTGCAGTGCCCAGAAGGCAGGGACACCTTCCATTAGACCGGGTAGCCTCCCACATCCAAGATCAGATGCTCTTGGTACCTCCTCTTTGTGGAAATGCCACCAAGCAGATGTGATTTCCATGCTGCATTCTTGGACAATCTTTATATTGTATTAGCAAAGTACCTAGGCTTGATAAACCAGGGTAGGTACTGCAAATGCTGGTTGGATGAGCAAAGAGAGAAAACTGACAACTCATTTCATTTTAATTTTTAGAGTTTATGAAAAACATTTTTTCATAAAAAAGTTTGTATGAAGAAAAGCAGCAAGGACTGACTTTATTTTCCCAGCTACTGTCAAGTATGTTGGTTGCTCAATGCACTAAGTCCAGGTTGATGATAAATCCAGTAGACACAGGGGTGCTCATCTGTGCTGAAGTTTCAGGTCTTTCTAAGGTTCCCAGACTATCAGATTCATCTTCGTACTGTGAAGATATAAACCTCTAAGTAATGGGATGAATTAGGCAAAAGCAGATGATTAGGAATGACAGCTGGGGAATAGTTATCCTGCAGCCTTATCCATGGGCCAGATGTTTGCGTCATAAATGTTTGAAATTTAATCTAGTGCAGGGGCAGTGGGGAGGTTCAAAATAAAAGCAGGCTGGTGTCCTAGGAGACTGAAATCCAGCCTGTCTGCAGACTGTAAAACAGCCATAAGCAGAATAGGCTGGCCAGGGCACGTGTCTGAGCAGTGCCCAGAAGTGGGAGAGGAGCAGAGCCACCATGCTGAGGGAGTAACACCATGTCTGCCAAGTTCCGTGCTACTACACCCAGAACTTTTCCAACACTGGAGTTTAAAGCTTGGGCAGATTTCTGATGCTATTGCTGGCAGCATAGATATGGTCTTCAGCTTTGAAGAGCTCATGTTACTGCCACATTTTGTTGGCAACCTCCCTTTTGGACTGCTGATAAAGAAAACAGTTACAAGAGATTTCAATATTATCTGTTCAGATTCGACTGAGCTGTCTGCTTCTCATTCAGGCTATTAGCCAGTGAGGCTTTGGATCACAGTAAACCTAGGGTGGATGATGAGTTTGAAATGAAAATCTGTATCTTTGGACCATACAGTGGTCTTTAGGTTGTGACTCTTGACCATGGGCTTTGCCAACTGAAGCCTTGTCAGAGACACATCAAAGAAAACATCTCACTCCGCATCTGGCTAAGGCTGGCCGAGAGCATGAGAAACCAGCTCTCATGGTGTAGATAAACAGGTTTGGGCTCAAAAATCTGAAAGCTTCACCTATGAAGAAAGAACAGAAAAAATGAGGTTGTTTAATCTAAAGCAGCCTGAGGAGCAGCAAAGATTAGAAGCAATGAATGTGGTCTATGGAGTCACTGTCAGTCCTGCTTCTACAGGCTGTGTGATTTGCAGGGAGGTGTAGGGAAGCTTCTGTTGGATGAAACATGATAAAAAGTAAAACCCATTTCATTTTTTGGAAATGCCTGACTGTGCTTGTAGCAATGCTTTTACAGACATATTGCAAGCCCTTAGGGGAAAAAATACATGGCAGCCACTTGTGCTACAGAATTAGATCAGTTAAAGCCTCCACGTGATCAGGTTTAAACAGCTCTTGACTCTAAATTGGCTAGAAGTCTTCAAGAGTGGGAAGAATGCTGAGACTACAGTGCTAAGGGGGGCTTAGCACTGGAACAAGTAGTTTTTTCTGGAGTATATTTGGCTGAGGTTAGTCACAAGGAGGGTCTTTGGTCATGTGCGTACACAGGGTGTTGTATTGGTCTGTGCATGCATCTTTATTTGCCAATTTGTTGGATACATGGGACTAAGGGATACACAGGCAAAGCACTCTGGATTTAGAGATCTGCATCTTTCTATTACTGTGCACTGGGATATAGGCTGTGTGCCAAGGGCTAAAGAACAAAGTGGAATGTTAGTCTTAAACTAGAAGTGCAATACAGGTTCTCATTTGACCTTTAATTAGCTGCCCTAGGTTGGATCAGTTTTTCTTAGCAAAATATGCTGCTGTCTAGAGACGTATTTGTTTTAGGATGCCATTAACACTACTATTTCGATTTTAGCAGCCATAAAAATTGATATTTCAGCACAAGATGACCTTCTTCCTATCTGTATTTTGCTGTGATTCCAGAGCTGATAATAATGTGTAGTGTCTATGATTATTCCATTACTAGTTAGGAAAATGCCTGCACTTCAGTTTAATTTTAAGGGAGCTGCTTGGCAGCTTTCTGTTGAATAATTGTAGTTGCTATAGCAAGAGCTACTTCCTGCCTCTGCAAGCAAACACTGGTGAGTTTCTTGCTGAACTGTTGATTGATTTGGATTCAGCAAACAAGGGAAAAAAGATTTGCAGTTCCTCACATAGCAGGAATTATGGCCCACCTGTGCAAGACAGCTGAGCTGATCTGCCATGGAGAGGGCTACATAGCTCCTTTCTCTTTCCTTGCCCCAGCCCTGGCATTGGTCTGGTTCCAAGATATAGCTGAAACATATGCTGAATAGAAAATGTTGGGTTTTCTCCCTGAACTGGCTCACTGTGGGATCAGACAAGTGCCAGAGATGGCATAAGGGAGGAGGACTGTATGGTGGAGGGCCGAGGGAGGTCATGTCCCTTCCTAAGGCAGTGATGCTTAACTGCACCTTAAAATCGCATCCTCAGTTTGTCTCAGCTGATTGCAGAGGAGCCATGTGGAAACAACATCAACTAGGATATGGCCCAGATTAATCAGAAAATGTTTTCTAGGGTAAAACACATTGGAAGGAGGAAGCCTGGTGGGTTATTTTACTGTTGTGCGCTTATGGCAGCAACTGCTCGCCGTGTCAGGGAATTCTGCTTTAATCATATCCTCAGACACTATGGATGATGTTGGGATGTGTCCAGATCTTGTCCTGTCCTTTTTTGTCCCCTCTAAATTCTGTATTCCTGAGGGAAATGGGATCATATGAGCCTAGGACACAACTCTTGCTTTGAAGCCAGCCACCACTGTAGGCATTGATGGGAGAGATTTCACTTTTAGCATGATTATAAAGTTTTGGAAGACATATGTTCCTGGCACTAAACTGAACTAATGAAGTCCTGTTCAAATCTGTTAGGAGAAAAAACATCCTTATGCTTGTTCTCAAGATACAACCTCCAAAAGTAATTCCCTATTTCTAATTTCTGTGATGAATTCTTGCCATGTGGTTACCTTCATATATTTAGGACTCCTTATCTCTGTAGTTTAACCTTTCAAAAAGGTCAGTGCAACTAAATGTGTTGTGTTGGATTTTTTTTTAATTTTTTTTTTTTTTAGAGTTAGTCCCAGCATCGTGACTTTTCCATCATGTCAGAACCTATCACGCTCAATGTTGGAGGAAAACTCTATACCACCTCTCTGTCCACTCTGACTAGCTTTCCAGACTCCATGCTGGGGGCCATGTTTAGTGGGAAGATACCAACCAAGAAGGACAGCCAAGGCAACTGCTTTATTGACAGAGATGGCAAAATCTTCCGCTATATCTTGAACTTCCTACGAACTTCTCACTTGGACCTCCCCGAAGACTTCCAGGAAATGGGCTTACTTCGACGGGAGGTGGATTTTTATCAAATTCAGCCGCTGATTGAGGCCTTGCAGGAAAAGGAAGTGGAGCTTTCTAAAGCAGAGAAAAACGCCATGCTCAACATCACCCTTGATCAGAAGACCCAAACCGTTCACTTCACTGTCCGAGAAGCACCCCAGATTTACAGCCTGTCTTCCTCCAACATGGAAGTGTTTAGTGCTCATATCTTCTCTACATCATGCCTGTTCCTGAAGCTTCTGGGTTCCAAACTTTATTATTGCTTCAACGGAAACCTTTCTTCAATATCCAGCTACCTGCAGGACCCCAACCACTTGACCTTAGATTGGGTGGCAAGTGTGGAAGGCCTTCCTGAAGAGGAGTACACCAGGCAGAACTTGAAGAGACTCTGGGTGGTGCCAGATAATAAGCAAATCAATAGCTTCCAGGTGTTTGTGGAAGAAGTGCTGAAAATAGCCATGAGTGATGGTTTCTGCATAGATTCTTCTCATCCACATACTTCAGATTTCATGAATAATAAGATTATTCGCCTAATTCGGTATAAGTAGGAATGGCTGTTTATTGCGGTGCAGAAAGCATGGAGATAACACAGGTTTAGTGTTTCCTTTTAAAACACACTTACAGCCTAATTCAGAATCATGCTTATCTGGATTAAGAGTCACTAACAAGGAGATGATTTTCCTTTAATGTACTTACCAATACGACCTTTCAGAATATGTCCATATTCTAGATGGAAGCAATATTGTCTAGCGCCTGAATTAAGGACTGGTTCTGTCTCTGCTGCCCCCTCTGACCTGCTGTACAGTTGTGGGGAAAATCACCAAACTTCTCTCCTTTCTACTTTTCCCAGTCAGAAAATGGAAGGGATCCCTAGCCTATGTTGCAAGGGGATGTGAGGGTTCAGTAATCAAGGTTTGGAATGCATCTGGAGAACAGATGTGGTGAAAGATGCCATGGAGCTGCAGTGCAGCAGACAGCCCGAGGACCGAATTTTCCATGTCTTGTTGTATCACCTGTGTGGAGCATCCAAGAAGCTTGATTGAATCCACAGATAAGAAGCCTCCCACGTGCACTCAATACAGCTGTAAAGGATGGTGCAAACTGCAAATGAGTAAGGGATCCCATCTCCCTGGGTTCAACAAAGGACTTCTCTCACCATCTGAAGTTGCCTTGTGTTTTTTTCTGAACCCTGTGAGGAAGCCCCTGCTTTATTCTGCTTTCGGGGAAGCCACGTTGGAATAATGTGACTGGCATGGAGAACAACCAGGGAAGCCACAGAAGAGAGAATGGTGTTCTTACAAACAAAGAAGATTAAACTTTTACATTCCAAAGGCATCCAAGACAACTAGTCCTTTTCTTTCTCTTGTAGTGTTAATATTTGTCTGGAGGATGCTGCTGAAACTTTCTGAGATGAAGATTTTGGGGCAGAGGCCCCCAAATGTCTTGTAAGCATTTGAGCCTCTTCTGGCCTTCTTTTGGGCACATCTCCCTTCAACAGTGCCTGGAGCACATCACACGCTTTCTGGATAGGATGGATTCCATTTGAAAAGACAACATTCTCATCAGGTTACACCTAGTATTTTTCATTACAAAAACAGAGGCTCACTTTTCCTATTCTAGTACATGGAGCCTTTTTTTTTAACATCCGTGTGAAATGGTCAGGTCACTAAATAGCATTTTCCTCACTTGCTTGGCTTCAGTGTCAGGTTGCCATAGGTAAGGCAGTGGGAATCCAGAGGTGACGGCAATGGTCACCTACACACCTGGTCTGTGCTGCAATGAAGATTATAATTCAGTAGCTGCATATTGTCTCTAAACATCATTTGTGCCACATTCAAAATGGTTCTTTCTCAGCTAATTATGTTTAAAAGTATCTTAACTGTATTTCCCTAGCCAGATGGCTATGAGTACATTAGAGACCCTCTGGAACATTTTCTGGTGTCTTTAATGAGATAAAAGGGAAAATGCAATAACCAAGTTTTGCATTTAGAATTTTAGCACTTCCAAAGGTTCTTAGCACAGGGCTGCAAAGCTCTGTATTACTCATGTTCTTGTTTCCCAAAGTAACTAGTCTGTCATTACATTAAGCTGACCTGTGAACAAGCATAAAGAAGCTCTTTTTCTTGTAAAAAACAGTGAGATCAGTATATTTCTACTGTCCCAAGCTGTAACTGCATGAACAACAGAAATCAGCATGCTGATGGGAAAAATGTACATTCTGCAGCTCTTGTCAGCCTATTACAGACCACTGCCCTTTGTCTGACCTGGTGCTAAACCAGCATGATATACGTGGGACCATGTTGCCAGAAAGTACTTACTGGGCTTGAAGCCCTCAGAACCATTAAACCTGGCAAATACTGTGAATTTTAAGGACTGCAGACAGGATTCTGTGGCCAGATTCTGGCTTGAGTCACCATATTTATCTAGCTTTAGTTGCATAAGGAAGAACTTTTTTTTCCCCTCATCCATGTCCTGAATTATAAAGCATGTGTTTGCCTCTCAGCTGGACATTCACAGAGATGACTGTGCTGTTAATGTGATTATGATCTGTAAAATGAACCCTCCTTGATCAAATCTATGCCTTGAAACAGATACGCCTTTGCTGAATTTATGATAACATAGCTTTTGGGGACCGTTGACAGTATTTCTTTTTAACCCACATCCTTGAGAGTAGATTTTAAATGATCTTTAACAGGAGTTCTTCTATGTCATGACTAAAGTAATACTCACCTGTAGGAATTTGTTTTCTGTCAGCTTGAGTGTTATGAAAGGTAAGAGCAGTGGGCATAAATTTCATTTGGAGGTTGGGGGGGGGAAGTCTGATCTACACCCTTTAGAGCTCTGGATCAGTACTACTCCATTCTGTTTCAGCAAAATAAAAATATTGCCTGGGGTAGTTGAATCATTACTGCATTTTCTGGTGAAAGGTGAATAAGAGAAGACTGTAAAAGGAGAGAACTGAACTCAGATCTTCACCTGGACTGCTTTAAGCCATTAGTCTCTTATGCAAAAGATGGATGACTTGAATACACACTTATTCGTACTCATGTGACTAAATCAGGAAAAGGTAGAGCTGGCCACAAATCTGTCATTTATTAATACATAGAGAGATGCAAAATATCTCTCTTCTTTATGTAGATGCAAAATTTCCAACCAGTATAAAGACATGAGTGAAGCCAAGCTTCGGGAGGAACAGAAAAACTCAAGGTACCTCTAAATTGCTAAGCTCAATAAACATCTTTATGTATGCTGTACTATTTTGAATGCCACAGCCATTCTGTGTGCTAATGGAGCACGGGAAATAGGCAGTGAGTGAATCAATGGTGATTGCAGGCAAACATATGTTCTGTGCAGTTGCTATTTCAAACTAAGCTAAATCTATAGCTGCTCCCGAATTTTGCAGTCTGTGAGTTACGTTATAATGACTGTTTATAGGAATGTTCTCTCTCCAAAGCATTTGTTTGCATTTTATCTGGATAGCTGGTTTTTGTTTACCTTCCTTTTCTGAGCCCTAGAGGCGTAACTTGCTTTTGTTTACCAGTGAACAGCACTGATAATGTTTCTTCTCAAGAGTTTTCCTGAATTACGGAGAAGCAAATATGCACAAAGCCATTTTAAGTGCAGCACAACCCCATCACTAGTCATGAAATGCACTTAGCATTTATTAGCAGTAACATCTAAAAATTATTTCACTGTTGAGTGGAATATTCATTCTCAGAACAAATAGGTGGTGTTTTTTCCTGAAAAGGATCTAGTGACTTTTTTCCCCTTAAAGCTTGAAGGGTGTTTTCTTCTACATCTTGGTGCATAACTCCTGGTTCTGCCATATGCCTGTCTCTGTCAGCACCTTTGTGTACAAAATGAGGCCAAGTCCCACAATTTTTTTAAAATGGTCTCACTTTTTCGGTGGTTTGGTTTGTATTTTCGGTTTTTTTAATGGCTACTGAATAGAGCATTCAGTTGTGTTAGAGCAGAAAGATACCAGAGTTAGGGCAGATGATAAACAAGTTGTTAGCTGTGGTCTAATGTCATTTTCAGGCCTGGACATGTGCATAGCAGTGGTATTTCTTATATTACAGAATTATTCTGAAACATCTTAATGGAGTCCAGAAAGAAACACTTGTGGATTTCTGTATGTGTTTTTAGGCTCGGTAGCTCTTAAATATCTTAAATATCTAACAATGTCCAGTTATAATCAAGGGACTGAAACTATACATAAATATTAAGACATACTTAAATTAAGACTATACATAAATATTAAGACATACTCACTGTTAAGAGTCAGAAGGAGTTAGTGGGAGGAGTGATTGATGCTGCAGTTGATGGTGAGGAAACAAATAGTTGTAGAAATTTAGATCTGAAAGAATTCACACGTTAACAAGAAATCCAGGATTTAGTAGGGAGAGTATAGAAAATCTTGATGTGTTCAGGAAAAAAAAAACAGCAAGATAACAATAGAGACAAAAATTTTGCTGCAAGAGGCTATAATTAGAATGATTCACTGGTCCTTTCCAGTTTTAATCTCCTATTATGCACCTTAAATATGCCAAGAGTTATGCTAGTAACTTCTCAGGAGCAGGCAGCTTTGCTTCAAATTGCATGTACTTCAAATCACCAAACATTTGCACTGCTGTACTTACCATATTATAGCTGGGTTGTTGCGTATTAACTGCTGCTTGAGTTCACTTGCAGTAAATACCTGCAATCAATCGGATTTATTCCCACTCTAGGAGAGGCTGGTGGAGTCCATTTGTAAGGTTGATGAGAGTGATAAATACTGCCTTCAGCCATGGAAGGAACATACTGAGAAAAGTAAATCTAGGATCTTCTGACACTTCACAGATAAATGGAGAAGTTATGAAGAAGATTCCTTTGGGGAGTTTTATTTTCACCCCATCCCTTTGAATTTGGTGTCACTGCTCAGAATTTCAATACATTTTGAAATATTTAAGTGCCATTCTGCATCCACACATTGATGGACACAAACACGCAGGGTACAAGCAGTGCTAATGTGTGGCCCTCACAGTAAAAGTCTTGTATGTGAATTAGTACAGGCAGTCATACAGATATTCTGTTCAAGAAGGGCGGGACGAAGCATAAATATCCAGATCAGGGTCTCAGATTCACTTAGGAATAACACAAGGAATGCCTTCCATATGAATTCAGGAAAAAAAAAGGAGCTATAGGGGAGGGCTGTATCTAATAATTCCGTTTCTCCTCCTTCTCTTTGCATTCCCCTCACTATTTTCTTGCTCTAATTCCTAACTGTAGGATTTTCCCATTGATCAGAATTTGGGCCCCAGTTCACTAAAAGCCATGCTTTGGAATCAGTAGTATTTGAAAAGTGCCAGAAGTTGGTCTTTCTTTCTGTCCACTTTTATAGAGAGCCTGAGGGCTATCACATTAAAAATCTGACTGTATTTCTCTGCCTGTAACTCTTTTGTGAACTGTTACTAATGTGTATTTTAGAAAACAGTAAATAAAATGTGAATGAAGCCTGAGATGCTCTGCCTGACATATATTTCTTGAGAAAAAAGCATGCAGTGAAGTTTGCTGAATCGGTAGCTTTTCCTTTCTCTAATGATTTTATGTAGTGCATCATTGCAATGCTTACCTCGACCTCTCCGTGGCTGAGAATTGTAGGAAGCTCCCCAAAAATTAATGCAGTTGTAGAAAAATTGGATGAACAAGCCTTCAGAAATAATCAAAACCATTTTAAAAGCATTAGCTCATTTATGTTTCAAACGTTTATAAACAGAGAATTTGTTTTTCCAGTGAAAACCCTTTTTAAACCCTAATGCTTTTGGATTAGTCTCTAGTCCCTGAGTTTGAGCAAACCATAATATATTGCTGCTGTACAGGAAAATACAAGTTGAAGATATTATCTTTGTAATTCCATGCAGCTCCTACAAGGTCCTACTCCTAAATTCATGAAGGTTTTCTGTAAGGAAGCGAGAAGGCATCAGCCTTGTATGCATCTACCCTGCAGGCTGGGAGGAAGGTATTAAAAATTGAGCTTTTTCCTCCGAAAGAATGCTTTGTACCTGGAAGCTGACTCGGACACCAACAACACTGGTTTGAAATGGCACCTCCCTGGAGCAGAGGTAAGCTGGTGTAATTGGAAGCAGCTTCAGCCTAGTGAAGGTTGGGTGGCCTCACATCACCCAGGCCCAACAGTGTCCAACTCTGTAAGTGGTCCCACAGCCAATCAACCCCACAACATTCAGAGTCAACTACCCAGCCCCACTGCAGGTCCCACACCCACCCAGTCCCACATCACCCATGTTAGAGGAAAGCCACTGCCTGAGCATTCTCACACCGCTCAAGGAGTTGCACACACACCACCTGAGAACTTTAACAGCAAGGGCCAGAGTCCCTTCACAGTGGGTGGCTCCAGTGAGCCCCAGCTGGTGCCCCTTTCGACTCCTCACCCACACACACACTCACTGTCTGGCAAGCTTTCTCCTTCTTCAGGCTCAACCCTGGGTTTCCTGTAGCAGTCTCAGTGCTGGACTTATAAATGTTAATGGAGTACAGCAGCAGGTCAGCTCAAGCTGCGTGCCTCCACAAAGGGACCCCAAACAAAGAAATCCCTGAGCTTTTTATCTCTGAGAATAAGGGTTTATTCTACATGCTCATTATTCACGTGCTTCTTGGTCCAACAGTGATTTTTGGTCTGGGGCCTTCTAACACCTTATTGGATTCTTTTTCTGTGTTCATATAGGCAGGACATTAACTGCTTTTGACAAGTTGGAGCTTCTGCTGATGGCTGCAGCCTCCCTGTCTTCTGGTTTGTACTTCTTGTGCACCTGCTTGCTGGCAGAGCATGGGAATCTGAAAAATCCTTGATTTTGAGTAAGCACTACTTAGCAGCAATTAAAAATCACCGTGTTATCAATGGTATTTTCATAATAAATTCAAAACACAGCACTGTACCAATTACTAAGAAGAAAATTAACTTTGTTCCAGCCAAAAGCATATCCAGGTGAAAGTTCAGCCTAAGACTTCAGCAAATCCAGCTGCTCATGCTAAGTAAAGGCAGGCAAGCAGCATGCTAAATCACACACTATTAGAGCTCTTAAGTGACTTGGTTTTATTTAAAACTCTTTAAGCTAAACAGGTAAGACCTCTCAACAACCACTCAACCCCACATCACAGAATGAATCAGAGCGTTAAGGATTGGAAGGGACCTTAAAGATCATCCCGTTCCAGCCCCCCTGCCATGGGCAGGGACACCTTCCGTTAAGAGTAGGTTACTCAGAGTCCCATCCAACGTGGCCTTGAGTACTGCCAGGGATGGGGCATCTACAGCTTCTCAGGGCAACCTGTGCCAATGCCTCACTACGCTCACGCAGATAAACCACTCCCCAACATCCAACCCGAATTTCCCCTATTTCAGTCCGTGCCCATGACAGCCACACGCGGAGCGCTCCCCGCGCATGCGTAGTGGCGCTCCCGACGCCGCTGCGGGCGGATGGGCGGGGCGGGCGCGCGCTTCAAACCGAGGAGGCGGGCGCGGCGCATGCGCAGGGCTGGGGGCTCGCGCGCCATGGCGGCGGGCGGCCGCGGCTGGTTCCGCGCGCTGGCGCTCGGCGTGTCCTTCCTCAAGTGCCTCCTGATCCCCGCGTAGTAAGGAGCGGCCCTGGGCACGAGGCGGGAGCGGGTGGCGCTGGGCTGCCCCGAACCCCTGGGGGCGGTGGCCGCGGGCGGCGTGGGGCCGCCGTCCCCGTGTGTTCCCCGGGTTGGTGAGGGGAGCGGGGCGGCGCCGCCTCTGCGGCGTGGCACAGCTTTGCTTTTGTCTTTGGGAGCCCTTCCAGCCCCTCCCGGCTGGCTGTTCGCGTTAGTTTTAAGGTTCAGGTTGTTTAATGTGCTGGAGCGTTACCACTTCATAATTTTAAAAGTTTTTTTACCGTGGGAAAAAAAAACAAACAACAACCAAATTGGCATAAAAAGTCAGTTAAAACCTGTAATTTCGCTTTAATTGTCTAAAAAGGCCAAGCTATAAATAGTTCTTGCCCTTTAGCCAGCTATATGAGTGACTTTTTACACGGTCAGATAGTGATAGGACAAGGAGGAACGATTTTAAACTAAAAGAAGAGAGATTTAGGTTAGATGTCAAGAAAATATGCTTCCCTGTGAGGATGGCGAGGCACTGGCACAGGTTGCCCAGAGCTGCTGCGGCTGCCCTATCCCTGGAAGTGTTCAAGACCGGGCTGGATGGGGCTTTGAGCAATCTGGTCTAGTGGACGGTTCCCTGCCCATGGCAGGGGAGTTGGAACTAGGTGATCTTTAAGGTCCCTTCCAACCCAACACGTTCAAGGATTCTCTCGTATATCCTTGGCATAAAGTTCATGCAGCATCTTTGCTGCTGTTTCAGTTACTTGACCGCAGTTGTACCCTAGAGCTCATCAGTAGAGACTTCCTTTTTACCTGCCTATGGTGAGGTACTCTGAAATGTTTCTCCTTTAAGTGCATGTATGTGACATTTCATATACCCCTTCTGTAGTTATTCCACAGATTTTGAAGTACATAGGAACTGGCTTGCCATCACCCACAACTTACCCCTCTCTCAGTGGTACTACGAGGTAAGTATGTTTGGGGTTTTTTAGCTGTGTATGAATTATAGGCACATTGGGTATGTCAGACTTTGTGAATGCTGGAAGAGGTGGTTGGTGGGTGTCATGCAGTGGGACAAAAACATACCAGTCACAATTTGTTGGCCCTGTGTAGCGTTAGTTTAAAACAATGAGAGTTCTTTTGGGAAGCTGCAAGTATTTAAGAAGGCAGAATGGCAAGAGCAGTTAAGGCGTGTGGGTTATTAGAAAGGCTGTGTAGTACAGGAACAAGTTGCATGGTAGTCTTAAATTGCTGCTCGCCTTTGCTCATGTACTAGTAGTGTGCATTGATTTTTGTCTAGATGAATCAACTTTAAGTTTGTGATAGACTCAGCCTATATAATTGGGTTTTAATCTATCTTATAGTATCTTCTGGAGTATAGGGATACAAATCACAGACTTTAGTACTCCTCCACTTAAGCATCTGGGACCTGTGTATCCAGGAGTAAACAATTTGTGCAGGTCAGAACTTCGTAAGGCTGATCCAGTATTGTAAACCACATTTCTGTGATGCCAGCACGATCCCAGTGCCAGAGGATAGGATGCCTTTTATCAGCATGAGATAAGCATTTGGGAACATGCACACTGAAAACTGTACCTCATCCCAACCTGCTCTGTTTCTCCTTCTTCCTCTCCTATTCCCACAGCCAAGGACTGTTCAGAGCATAACAGCTGTCCTTATAGGAAAAGATCACATAATGCCATTTGGTCTTGATAAGATCATACGAGAGTTAAGACTTATGAATGAGTTATTTTGAGACTGTAGCAAGGCTGAGTGTGTTGGTACTTGCTCCAATGTAGACCGATATTCGCTGTGGTCTGTTTTACTGAGATTTTTTAATATTGGCCCTATTACTGTAAGTTGATTTATAAAGAACAGACAGTTATGTATTGGTTAGGTGCAGATACATAAAATGCTGTTTAATCTTTTCCTACTAATCAGGAGATGTCCTGTCTCTCTACCAGTACTGCAAAAGAACAACTTAAATCATGCTCAGCACCACAGAGCTGGCTACTCACTGTGGAGTAGTTTCTGTTAAATAGAGGCTACTGAGATAAAACGCATCAGCTGAAGGACTGCAAACAGCATGGGTTGTCTTAAACTATTTAATCTTCTTTTGTCGTTAGGCAACTTCGGAATGGACCCTGGATTATCCACCGTTTTTTGCCTGGTTTGAATACGCGCTCTCGCACGTGGCCAAGTACTTCGACCCGCAGATGTTGGTTATCGAAAACCTGAATTACACCAGTCATGCAACCATTTTCTTCCAAAGGCTTTCTGTCATTTTTACAGATATCCTCTTCATATATGGAGTTCATGAGTAAGTCTTAACGTTCTAATTTTAGGGACAGTGGGTAGTCTTTTATATGTACCACAACAAATAACTGTACGACTGAGCTTGTAAATGCATGGAAATGCCGAAGTAGCTTTAACCTATTCGAGGAGAAATTTGGAATACAGTGCTAAACACAATCTAATGTTTTGTTCTGGGAGATGCAGTTTCTGTACATGTGGTAGATTTGCACGCAGTCAGACATTAGCTACTGTTCCATGTGTTATAGTTGGTTTTGTTTCTGTCACTGGGTTCATTTTGTAGGACTTGCAGGACAACTTGTGTGCTCAGAATAGGCTTTTTTCTTGTTATTTTTCTTACTACTCTGTTCTTCTAGAGTAGAAGCATAAAGGAAATTTGTCACAAAGTATCAAATATGCAAAGTTGCTCCAGTGTTTTTGGTATTTTTGATGATAAGCTGATTATTCCAAGTCTAATAGAAAAATAATAGGATTGGGTACTTTCAGTGTGCCCTGACTTTGTAAAGAAGTATTTATCTAATACCTAAAGAGTAGAGTGGAGGATGTTTTGAGAACTATGTTGTCTACCTTAATGATTTGGCTGTAACAGTCTTCCCTAGTTTTAATCTGTCAGTCAAAATCCAGGTAGAAAATTCTCTGACTGGAGCACTGCCTAAGCCCTTTTATTTACTTTATTTGAAATGAGCTAGCTTTGCGTTGTGACTTTTTTTTCTTTTTGTTGTTTTGGCTCACAGATATATGAATGTGGGGCTGAAGGCTCAGGGCTGGTGTCTGCATGGGGTCATTTTGCTAAGAGAGGTGATAGATGTCCCATGCCTGGAAAAATTCAAGGCCAGGTTGGATAGGGCTTTAAGCAACCTGGTCTAGTGGAAGGTGTCCCTGCCCATGGCAGGGGTATGGACTACATGACCTTGAAAGGTCCCTTCCAACTCAAACCATTTCATGATTCCATATATGAGCTGGCTTTCTTAAAATGGCTCTACAATAGTATTTCAACACAAATCATCTGTAACTTTTTAATCTGACCTAACCTTGCCTTCAAAAATAATATGAACCATATTGCTTCACGCAGAGAAGTAATAGGATTTTTAACCAACAGAGATAACTCATAATATTGAGGGAGGGGGGATGGAAGAAGTTAATGTCCAACCTTAAATACAACTTGGTATGTTGTCTCCAGATGTAGCAATACATTGCTCATCCATGATGGCAAGCAGGCTGTGACAGCTTTACACTTAGTGAATGCAGGACTTAAACCTGAGGCTAAGTTAGTTAACATCAGCTTTGGTATGTGGAACACACTACGGCTTTGAAATTGAAAATCCTTCTTTTACTAAACTTTATTCATGACCCTGTGATGACACTGCCCTTGATGAATTTAGCAAGGATTTTATCATCGTCTTCCATCCTAATAAAAGGGCTAACTTCAGATTAAGTGCACCTTTCAGCTCTTTAAACCAATAATGCTTTTGTTGTCTGTTTGAATTAAAACTTCTGTTTCTTCTGCCTTTGTTCAGATGCTGCAGATGCATAAATGGAAAACGAGCTGCAAAGGATATCCTGGAAAAACCAGCATTTATTCTTGCTGTTCTGCTCTTGTGGAATTTTGGGTTGTTAATTGTGGATCGTATCCTTTCAGACCATTATGGACTGTTTGTGCTATTTTGTTGGTTTAACAATCTGTTACAGTGTGTGGTACCAATTCATATTGCTATCACAGCAAATAACGCTACTGATTTTGTTTCTGAGGTTAGTTAAATAACTTCATGTTTTTATTAGAATTCTTATTTGGCAAAATGAAAATTAGTCCATTCTTCGTCTGATTTGCCAGAACTGCAGGAGAACCAACCAGTCTGGCAGCAATGTGTCTGTTCCTGTTGGGTGCTCCTCCTCCACCTGCCTACAGAAGTATTAGCAGACAGGCTCTATTTTCTGGGTGTGATTCCAAGTTTGTCCCATGGCAAGGAAAATCTTAAAAAGCTTTTTAAGTTCAGACTGTATTCAGTTGGCTAATGTTATATGGGAATTAGGGAGGCTTTCTAAAGGAAGATATCACAGAATCGAATCGTAGAGTTGAGTTGGGTTGGAAAGGACCTTAAAGATCATCTAGTTTCAACACCCGTGCCACGGGAAAGGACACCTTCCACTAGACCAGGTTGCTCAAAACGTCATCCAACCTGACCTGGAACACTTCCAGGGATGAGGAATCCACAGCTGCTCTGGGCAACCTGCTCCTGTTCTGGTTGCCAGGAACTGTCACCAGAAACTGAGAAATTGACCACTTTGTTAGGTTAAAAAGTTGACATCACTTTATTCAGTGTAGAGGTATGTGGGGATAGCTCCGCAAAACGTGTATATCAGTTATCAAAAGTTTTGACTATTTATACACTTCAGCAAACAAAGGAATTAATGTTCACTGGCTTACAAGTTACGTAGTTCTCTTTATTAATTAGTGTTCTATCTTCTATTGTTATTGATTTCTTGCTTCTCATGCTAATTAGTTCACATTTTCAGTCTTTTTATTATCTTTTTCTCAGATAGGACATCTCTGGGATATGTAACATGTCTGTGGTTTATAAATTCTGCATTCCTGATGTTCAGTTCTCAAAAATAAATTATCTTCCAGGTTTTGTTAACTTCCTCCTCCAGAGCCAAGCCCTAAACTTTTAATTTGTTATTCTAACACATGTTCATTACCCAGAGCTTACCCATCAACTGTTATCTATTTCACCAATTAAATCTCTTCTCAACATTTTCTCCAACTGTTGCATAGGTTCCTTTTTTAAGAAATATAACTTGTTTGGTAACACGAGTGCTTAAAAATTTAAGTGGAGATTTAACCTGTTTTTGGTTTGTCTTATATAAGTTGCATAATACATATGTAGATTGTTGTGTTTCATTTCATCAAGGTAATGTGCTAGCATTAGTAGATTTTGTGTCTAAGAGTACTAACAGTTAATGTTAAATAATAATTCAGCGTGGTGTGAATTTAAGATTGCTTTCTTGATTTAAATTCCATTTTAATTTGAATTTATTGTTCAGAACTTTGAGTCTTCCCCAGAAAACAGAATAATAAAGAAACCTTGCTTTATTCCTTTCTTGACTCAAGTTCAGATATTCACTTCCAGTACAATGGCTTTCTGTTTGGGCTGATGCTGCTTTCTGTTGCTCGTCTGTGTCAGGTAAACTCAAGTGACTCTCATCTATTTGTTGCCATATGTGTTTAGGTGCATTAATTCACTTCATTGAGCTGCCCATGTTGAAGGCAGTGGTAGTGGCTTGATGTTGAGGTGTGCAAAGCTGGATGTCTAATTATTCGTTGAGTTTCGGAGGGAGGAGGAAAGCTTGAAACTCACCATAATTGCTTGCTAATGCTGCAGCATTGCAATTCCCACTGAGAAAACTAAATTCTGTATTACAGCTAAGCAATGTGGCATCATTTCTTGCCATCCTCTTCCAAATCACCAGTCCTTAGAAAACATACTTCTGAAGCTGTGGGGAAGGGAGGCCTGTCCCAGTTGTCCAAGTATGGTGTGACACAATAGTTTCCTTCTCCATACCTTTTGTGCATAATACTACTGAGTTTGTAATTTTAAGTAAATACTTTTTTTTTTATTTTAATGCCTGTAATAACTGTCCCATCGCCGTAGGAGTACAACAGGGGACCATTAAGAGTTAGTACAGAGTACAGGAAAAAGAGCTTGGGTTTTGTTTTTCTTTTAGAAAAGGTATTTGGAGGGCGCTCTTCTTTTTGCTGTTCTTCTGCATTTCAAACACATCTACTTGTACGTGGCCCCAGCATATGGCATTTATTTGTTACGATCCTATTGTTTTACTGCAAATAATGCAGGTAAGATGGGGTTTTCCTCACTGGCTTTTGGGGATTGGGTAATCAGTGCAACTAGGGGAACACTCAAGATATGCAGATGCAATTGGAACAAAATGGCTGTGTGTCAAACAAAAATTCTCCTTGACAGCAGAATTGACAGGATCTTGCAAGATCTTTGAAATACATTTGTTTCTGTACAATTCCTGTTACTTTGAGTCCTTTGTTAAGTTCTTTGTTAAGAAGAACGAGCATGAGCAAACTGCAGGTGGCATTGGAGGCCATAAGAACTGTTATGATAGCATCAGAAGCCATTTCAAAGTCCTTCTTTGAGTTTCTCTCCACTTTTTAGCACTAAAACATGCCTGATACTCCTCATGTGAACAGGGAAGGTAAATTTGAAAAACAGCAAAAGATTGAAGCTCCTGCATTCTACAGTGTGGAAAAAGATAAATGCCAGCTGACTGTTGAAGGAAGCAACTGAATGTATTGCCATAAAAGGCTGTGTGCCCCTTCTAAAATAGGTGCTATCAATTCCCTGTCAGTGTGGAATGCTTTGTCTCCTTTTCCACTTCCCACAGTAACTATTTTCGTAATCCATTTGTTTCTTGTAGATGGATCCCTGAAGTGGAGAAGTTTCAGCTTTCTTCATGTAACTCTTCTGGGACTGATTGTCTGTCTTGTTTCTGCTCTTTCCTTGGGACCCTTCCTAGTATTGGTAATAACCCCTTTTTCACGTTATTCCCCAGACCTGTTAAAAAATTGCCTTATAAAAATACCATGTCTTGTCTAAAGAGGTCGTTTCCTTCTTCTGTTTTCTGTAGGGCCAGCTGCCTCAAGTCATTTCACGGCTTTTTCCTTTCAAGCGAGGCCTCTGCCATGCCTATTGGGCCCCAAACTTCTGGGCTTTGTACAATGCCATGGATAAAGCACTAACAATTCTTGGTCAGTATGCTGGTCTTGCTGCTTGGTGCCATTTGCTGATAGAGCTCTCTGGATTTTAGTCTGCCCCATTTTGAAATGCATGTAGTAAATTACGTTTTCAGATTGCTATAAATCATCTGATTGTCCACATAATGTAATGTGTAAGTTCTCAGCAGTAGGTCAGAGATCAATCACTTCCCTTTGCTATCTTTTAAAAAAAGAAAAGACTTGTCCATGTACTTAGTTCAGCTACTTCATTTTCTTTATTGACACTTCTCAGTTTGTGCTTCTTTATGTTTTGTTTTTAGGTTTAAAGTGCAATTTTCTTGATCACACAAAAATCCCTAAAGCCTCCATGACAGGAGGGCTGGTTCAAGAATTTCAGCACACTGTCCTCCCTTCAGTGACTCCACTGGCAACATTAATCTGTACTTTCTTAGCTATATTGGTAAGAACAACTAATATTTTTTGAAACTTCATATGTTTTGTCCCTATTAGGTTTTAATTGATTAGTGTACACTTCAAATATGTTTTCTTTAAAAAAAATAATAAAGCCAGTTATTAGAATAAATTTGGACTTAATATCTTTCTTGATACACAATAAAACTTTCTTCGAATATGAACTTATATTTATGGTCCCTGTCAATGGTTAAAAGAGTGTTAAAAGCAAACTTGGATCAAAACCAGTCTGTGTGCTGAGCTAGAAGTAACCTTTTGTGGTAGAAGGTGGTTGACATGGGTGGAGTTTCTGATGGAGCTGTTTGAGCAGCTTACAGTGTTCCTAACAGCATGAGCCACAGGTAAATGTAGTGTTCTTCACATGGCAAGCACAGAATGAGAGGTTCAGTAAGGAATTACCCAAATACACAGTTCTTTTCACTTTAATGAGTAACTAGCCTTTAATGGGAAATCTTTGTTTCAACACCATCATGTGGTGACTTTGATAAAATTAATTTAGTGACTTAGATTGAAAGACAGTTCTTGCATGCAAATGACAGGGAGTTGGCTGTGGTCTTTCAGTCTACTTTCCCCTCCTGTTATTTCAACAGAATTCCTTCAGGGTCTACTCATACACCCAAATAGATCTGGTTCCTCCAGTGCTATGTAATGCTTGTGCCACACAAGCACAAACCTGGGTGCAGTGGGGTGTATTAACATTGAAAAATCTCTTTGGACGATGGCTTGTGTTCAGGATTGCCAAACTTTTCACTGAAGTCCTGTTTTTGCCTGTTGTTTCTAGCCCTCTGTTTTCTGTCTTTGGTTTAAACCTCAAGGGCCCAGAGGCTTTCTGCAGTGCCTTGTTCTTTGTGCGCTGAGCTCCTTCATGTTTGGCTGGCACGTGCATGAAAAAGCAATACTCCTTGCTATTCTGCCTTTAAGGTAAGTGAGTTTTGTACACAGTAGTTGGCCAAAGTGGACCTGCAGCCACTTGTTAAGGAATCCTCCAAGGGGATCACTTTGTTTTCAGTATATTTCAGAAGATGAACGTGTTTATAGAATGTCTTAAGCTGGAACAGTGTAGTGCACTTGAATTAATTTCAGGCACAGATCAAACCTTGATGAGTGCTGTGGTTCATGTTCTAAAATGCTGGATAGATTGGTCAGCAGCCAGCTGAGGAAAGGGATCTTCTGCACTGTGCTTGACAAGAATAATACGCAGTTTCTACCAAAAGAACTTTATGCCTGCCTAGGGTAGAAGTAGGCTGTAGTTCATAAACTGCCTGACCAGTATTGCTCCAAACTGTATTTTCCTCCCTCAGAGATTTAGTGATGTTTAAGCTCTTGTGTTCTGTCAGGCCTTGCCAGTAGTTTTGTTCAGTGGGGGTGTGGTTTTCTGGGGGAGGGTTTCCTGGATAATTTTTCTCCTGTATTTTTATTTCTGGGGCCATGTAGTTTGGAAGTAGGAGACTTCATCACAGGTCCAGTGTTTGGAGGGACTGTGGTACCATGAAGCTATTTGACCTTTCTTCACTCTCTTGTGAATTGTGTAGTGCTCTGCTGAAATTAAGTTTCTTTACTAAAAGACAAAAGCATAACAAATTTTTGTCATTTTTTAGCTTGTTGTCTATTCAGAGAGCCAAGGATGCTGGCATCTACTTGATTCTGACAACAACAGGGCATTTCTCACTTTTTCCATTGTTGTTCACTCCACCAGGTAAAGTGTTCTTCTTTCTGTGGTTTCATCTTACTACTTTGGGTTTTTTTTCCAGAGATGTCATGCGGGTAATGGGTTTGGATTAATTTATAGAATACCTTGAAAGTTGCAAGGAGGCTGTATGTCAGCCTGTTTCCATAAATGCAAACTCTCCAACTAGTGAAAAGAATCATTGGGTTAAAAAGCTGTAGAAAGACCATAGTTGAAATAGGCCTCAAGTTGAAATAGGGATGAGGAGTTGTCAGTCAATATTTGTTATCCCTTGCTCTGCCACAGTTCCAGAAACCTCCTGTTGTCATAACCATGTCAGGCAAAACTGATGAAGACAATTTGAAACTACAGCCCTGGCAGGCTGTTTTTCAGCTGACTGCTTCCTTATGTTGACAGTACTGTGTTTAAATTAAAAAATCATGTAGTAGCATCAGTTAAGTCAGTGCGTGTAGGGACAGATGTGTCTTTGTGACCAAAACCTGTTTGTTCCTTCGTTCACCTCCTACCTTTTCAGTTAATCAGGGGCCTGTTTGCTTTTCTCAGACTCCAGGCCATGGTGGTTACGACAACACTGTAACACTGAATTGATTGTCATCCTTCTGGGAGAGTTCAGATCCAGGCACTCAGTCTTTTGGTCTGACAGTGCTGCTTATTTGTAACAGCTGCTGCCTTCAGAAATAAGAAACTTCCTCTGCTTTCTCTATTAGTTAATTTTTATCTCGTATGTGACGTAGAGCTCAATAGTGTTGATTTGCCTGTCATTTTTGCTTTAATCACTTCCCAGTGATTTGTGATTTCTTTTGAATAGGGAAATGTTATTTGCAGTGCTATCACAAGTTGTAATTATAATTATTGTGTTCAGTATGTTTATAGATAATTGAAGTAAGTGTATTGCAAATGCTTGGCATTTGCTGTAGTAAACATCTATGCTTATTTTTAGTATCCTGAGTAGTAAAACATGTAGGTCTGCAGAAAATAAATTTGAACAATGCAAGCGTGACTAGTAGGATTTAAAGATAGTGCAATTCATATGGCAAAAAGTTTTCATAATTAATTTTAAAAGTCCATAATGTTCTTTGCTTTTCAGAACTTCCACTTAAAATACTGCTTATGCTGCTGTTTACTGTTTATAGCTTCTCTTCATTGAAATCTCTATTCAGGTAATTAAAGAAACTTCATTCTCAATGCCAGGAACAACAACATTTCTTCTGGCACTGGAAACAGTCTTGTCTTAAGGGGGGCAAACAGCACAGAAAACCGATGCTGAAGTATCAGGTTGAAGTGTTACTAGTCAAAAGATGCTGCTGCAGCAGTTCTCAGGAGGCAGTGCTTTAGTTAGGATTATTACAGCACATCCTGGTTATGTTTGAGTTGTGACAGCTGCCCAGTTAGTCCCAGCAGGCTGTAGATCCCCACCTGCCTGATATCCTGTTAAAGCATGGAGTTGTGATGCTGTATCCTGTGAGGATTTAATTCAGTCTCGGAGCACTTACTACAGTGAGGTATCTGGCGATTGTTTATCTTACTCTGCTCTGGTTTTTTACAGTAGTAGTATTTTAATGTGTGGAAGGGACAGGTTATAAATAACGTACATTACAAGCTGTGATTTGTCAACCAAGCTGCAAACATTTGGCTGCCAGAACATGTAATTATCCAAATCATCCTGTGTAGTTTTACAGCCTATTGATCTCTTACCTACTTGACCAAAGATACTGCTTATCCTTACAACCCCTGTAGTCTCCACTTCCCTGTTTCCCAGACTTTTTTTAGGGCAAAACCAAGCTGTAATGAGGGATGTCAAAAGGGCTGTAAACATGTGTTCAGTACTTCAAGCACCTGTTTTTTGTAGGTGGGGTTTTTTTGGGCAAGACTGCTTTTTCCCCCCTTAGTGTTTAAGAATTCAATCATTCTGTCTCAAGAGCTCTAACTAAAAAGCTATGTAGGAGCTTAGCTTTTGTCTAGAGATGGGGCTTTTGCAAGTTTCTTGTTCCTAACTTGCCAAAACGAACAAATTCCTGCCAGAACTTGAAATTCCCTGTAAGCTACCTGCAGTCAAAACCCTACCACCAATGTCCTTTGCCAGAGAGATTGGCTAGACATTACATCCTACAGAAAGCTTGGGGGAAGAGGTTAAAATAAGTGTGACATTTCCCCTCTTTGGATATAGAACAACTTTGGTGGAACAAGCATGTGTGTGAAGGTCTGTTCAGTTGTTCACTGAAAGGAGGTGAGGTGAAATACAGCAGCTGATAAGGTTTCTCCTTAGATTCCAAGGCATCTTGGAACTTGGTGTAAAAGGCACGTGATAAGGAAATTAGCTGTAGTCTTGGCTATCATGCTGGGGTTTTTTGTTGTTTGTTTGGTTTTTTTTCTGAAACTTTTTAAATTGTTATTTAAAGCCTTGTTGTGAACTAATAGATATTCTTTGCTCTGGTCACCAGTGATAGCTGAAAAACAGAATTGTTATTTTTAGTTAACATCCTGTATTTTAACACTACCTCTTTTTTAATTCCTCTCACAGGAGAGAGAAGCCTCTCCTTAACTGGCTTGAAACAATCTACCTCATCCAACTCGTGCCTTTGGAAATCTTCTGTGAAATTATATTTCCCCTGACCCCCTGGAAATGGCACTTCCCTTTTGTCCCTCTGTTGCTGACCTCTGTATACTGTGCTCTGGGCATCACATACGCTTGGCTCAAACTCTACGTCTCTGTCTTGACTGAGAGAATTCCTGTCAGACAAAAGGCCGAGTAAAGCCACAGTGCTGGGACCAGTCCCAGGATATCCCTTTGAGGGGATTACTGGCACAGTTGTATGTCACAAGAACATACAGCTCTGGATAAGACACAGTGTATGTGTACCATCGCCACGTGGGGAGGTTTTCTTCCAGCACTCCTGTACTGCCCAACAAGGATACCTCTGACCAGAAGTGCTCACAGTAACGTGGAGGGCTGTGGATAAACTGTGAAGCTCAACAAGGTCCAGACTTCTGTCCCAAGGAAAACCTGCCTGATTCTCCCATTACTGTTTGTATTTGAATAAAAGTTGTTGTGTCAAATTAGAAGGGATGATTGCTGTGTAGGAGAGCGTTGTCACTGTGTTCTGTGGAACTTGTAAATTAAAAACTTGACATTTTTTCTTTGAGCATTTCTTGCATTTTTTTCCGCTCACATCTAAGCCCTGCTTTTGAGGGAAACCTGCACAAGTAAGGATGTAGTGTCTAGCTGGAAACTTTGTCAAAATCTTGAACACTCAAATATCAAGTTTTTATATGTCCATATCCCATTGACCTCCTTGTTTCATGGATACTCTTCAAAGAGGCTTTAATATTCTTTTAATACTTATTTGTGTAGCCCAGGTGACCAAATTGAGGCTTGGGACTGACATGAAGAATTTTTTTTTAATACCATTAAATCTACCCTGTAATGTGGCTGCATAATGGTATTTATTTGTAATTAATGTAAAAGTCTGCAACTGTAACAAAAGATCAAGTGTCCACAGTTCCTCTAGAAAGTTCAAAAAAAGGTATATTGTATTCTACCTCTGGAATCATGTACCCTGAAAGGTAAGTTATTTCTGTAGTAAATAATTGTACTTGTTAAACCCTATATAACCATCCCTAAAAGATGTTGCTCTAGAGATTGGGGTCTGGTTTGGATTCCAGTGCTGACATGAAATGGGAGGAGAAGGGATGGATTTGTTTTGGTTTGGTTTTTCAAGTAGTTTTTGAACTTTCTTCTGTGTTAGTTGAAGAACTGGACCCCTTTGGAGAGGATAGTCCAGGGGATAGTTACGCTTTTTGAGTTCTTTGAATATTTCAGATGTTAAAAGAGAGTGGGGCTCTTGTTAGGACAGCAGGTTGAGTAGTTGCTGTGGCCATTTCTGTAACCAAAGAGCTTGTGCATTTAAACTTTTCACAGTCCATGAGCTTGTATTCAGACCTTCTCACTCTGTTTTTCATTACTTTCTCATAGTTTCTGCTTTTTTTTGCACCTCAGCAGCTTTGCCTTGCTCTTTTTAGCTGCTGTGGCTGCCATTGATGCCACGGTGCTTCTTACCACCTGTATTTTACTGCTGGTCTAGGCCTCAAAGTTCTGCACGGGGTAAAGCATCCACAGTGCTTGTGTTTGTCTGCATGGACGTGCTGTCCTTTGTAGGGAAACAGTAATATTTAAAAAACAAACAAAAACCCCAAACAAAACAAAAAAACAAACAAAACCCAACAACAACAAAAACAAAAAAACCAAAAACACAAACAAAAAACCAAACAAACTTGGCTCTTCTGCAGCAGCACCTTTGCAAGTCAAGCCTAACTCCTTCCAGAACAGGTTGCTCAGGGGAGCTGTGGTTGCCCCAGCCCTGGAAGTGTCAAAGGCCAGTTTGGACAGAGCTCTGAGGAGCCTGGTCTGGTGGAAGGTATCCCTGCACATGGCAGAGGGTTGTAATGAGATGATCTTTAAGGTCCCTTCCAACCCAAACTATTCTGTGAAATTCAGCCCGGGGCAGTGACTTAAGTGACCACCTCCGGCCATTCTGTAATTCCTGCTTCAACTTAAGCGTCTCCCACTGGGGAGCAGTGACTGTCCAACCTCCTCCTGTGTGGAGAAAAGTTAAATAATACATTTTTAGGGAAGAGGCTGAGAAGCCTTTAGGACCGGTGGTGTCTTTTTAATGCAAGGGTTTTTTTAATGGTTCCATCAATCCTGCTATGGTGGCAAGTGATTTAATGTGGTTTCGTAATAATTAAAAAAGCAAAA